GGGGGGGGGGGGGGGGGGGGGGGGTTGTGGAGACGTGGAATAGGAAAAATGGGTGGTAATAAGAGGAGTGAGAGCTCAAGATAAATTTCCGCAGGTGGCACGAACGTGTCAGGCTCAGGGCAAGGGCTCACATAAAAAAGAATAAGCAGATTGTGCAAGATGTGAGATGCTTAGTGTAACATTCTCCCTGATGCGGTCATCAGCGCCAAATTTCGCACCATTCCATTGAATTTTGACACTGACTCACGTGGGTTACCGGAATCATTATGCGGCGGATCTATCGTCGTAAAAATAAGGACGAAACCTCTTCGACGGGTATCCTAAACAACGGAACAATGATACCTTTTCACGCTTCCCCCCCCCCCTCCAAGGACCCAAAGTGAGGACTCCGCTTTAGTCCTTACGGGTTGTTGTCATAGCCAATCGATGATCACATCATCTCCTGGAGGCCCTAGGCCCATATGATTCACATCGTAATTAGTGCTGTCCTTCGATGAGGAGGCTAACGACATAAACTTAACCAGGGTGAAAGATGGCTACAAATTACGTAAAGTCTGAATCGCATCTCTATAATTTTAAATTTGAGATGGCAGCACTGCACGGGTCTCGTTACACTTTCGTGATAGAATTCTTGTTTATTTCTGAGAATACATTCTGCGAATTATTTTTTCCACAATTTTGCAGGGCTAAAAGAGAAAAATGTTTTATTCTATGAACCGTGTAACAAAATGGACGATGAACGGTATTGGCCGCACTAATAGGTCAGTGTGGCCGAACATTTTGTTTTAAGTGACTGATCACTACACGGAGAAAAAAACCTCGTGCGTGGGACCCGAAGTTTAGGTCATATGGATCTCTAAAGTTTTCGGATTGAGCATCTGAACACTTTCGGTCTAGCTGCCGAGGTTCGGATCACACATCTGAAACTTCGGTTCTTACATCTGAAGTACTTCAGATGTGAAAACCGAAGTTTTTCGGATGTGAGAACCGAAGTTTTTCGGATGTGAGAACCGAAGTTTTTCGGATGTGAAAACCGAATGAAGTACTTCAGATTTAAGAACTGAAGTTTCAGATGTGTGATCCAAACCTCAGCAGCTGGACCTTAAGTGTTCGGATGCTCAATTCGAAAACTTCAGAGATTCATATGACCTAAACTTCGAGTCCCACGCACGAAGTTTTTTTCTCCGTGTATGAAGTGTACAGAATAGTATAGTTGTTGTACAGCACCGCACTGTAGTTCACAAGACCGAACTTACTCTCTGACTGTGTGATCCAAATCAATGGTAATCATTGTAGCAAATTTATGGGTGCCCACGAAATCTCCTAAGCGGCAGCAACTAGGCAACACGCAATGTTGGGCTGCTGTTGCTCTTGCAGGTACTTGCTCTCGTTTTACCCTTTGTGTTTTATTACGCTGCGAATCGCGCCACGTTTTCCACCCGAGCAGAGCAGGGTCAACAAAGGAGCTGACCGATGAGTTAATTTTGAAATTCTCCATCGACTCCCTTCCCGCTTTGGGGCGCGGGGAGCAAGCACTGATTTTTACTCTTTTTCGCCATTTTTGACTCCCTCAGTTATTCTTAGAAATATCTATAATTTTACTACTCATGTCAAAAACAATCGTGCTTTTACTCATTCACCTCGTCCTTTCCTATTTGCAAGAGCCTCAAGTACCGCGGACACCGAATCTTGATATCAACTGAGATTTGAAAACCAAAGGAGAAATGAGGCGTCAATCAGTTTCTTTAATACTGATCAAAAATATTTGTGGAGGAAAAGAGAAAATTAAGATTAGCTCACGGAGCATAAAGCGTTCCTTTTTCGTCTCGTGGCGCCCACTCATGGTTCAGAGAAAGCAAAAATACAGGGAAAAGTAACGTTGCATTTACTATGAAATTGGTAAAACATAAGTTATAGTTTATAAACTAGCTGGAAATTCCTGGGTTTTTTCATAAAAAAAAAAAACCTAAATATGTTCGTATTTTTTTATACAAAGGAAACAAAATCAAAAGCATGCGCGTAATTACAAATAGGAGTGAGCATCCTGATATTCAAGAAAAAAGGACGCGAAAAACTGTTTGAAATGCTTAAAGGGTTCATCTTCAAGGTTTTTTTTTTCTTCTTTACATTTTAAATATCCCACGAGGGATAATATTGTGCTTTTACTGTCCCTAAATCCTATCCCCTGCTAATCAAGCCAACCCCACATAACTGCGTCATTTGGGATCATCAAACTTGGGTCACCTCACCAAGAATCGAGCCCGGGATCTCCTGATCATGGAGCAAGCGTCACAACCACCACAACACACACTGGAAAAAAAACACATTGGATCTAGAGTCCAGACTCTTAAATACATAGACAAGAAAAAATACTCTTGATTCAATCAGATTTAAGCTTAAATCAAGAACCCAGTCTCTTGATTTGAGCGGATTTCCTTTTGATTTAAGCTTAAATCTGATTGAATCAAGAGTATTTTTTCTTGTCAATGTTTTCAAGAGTCTGGACTCAAGATCCAATGTGTTCTTTTCCAGTGCAGGAGGCCGACTACAAACTATAGATGCAACCAATGGTTACACACATACTCTCAAATTGGTATTGAGGTTGTTTTGGACACTAACAAGGAAGAAAATATCAGGAACGACGACATAAAATTAAGTCGTCACACCACAACTTCAAAATTTTTCAGCCCTTTTTCCTATCATGTTTTAATTGAGAAGTATATCCTGACGATGTGTTGAATCCGAAAACCAAAGTTTTCAAAATTATGACATCCATTACTACAGTATCAATTATTACAGCTGGTACCGTCCAGTGAAGTTAGTCGAACGATAAAAAGGACCGAAAACTTTGAGGTACAGATGTCAACATGAATCATTCTAAGAGGTCAAGAGTGAGAAGGAAACGTGGTAGAAAAGGAGGAGAAATGAGGATGGGAATGAGAGGAACAAGAAGGAGAAGTTATACTTTGAGAACACCTCGGTCTCGTGCCCTCGTGTATTCTGTCATAAAATATTTGGCAAATTATGCTTCGCAAGTCTCTGTTCCCTTTTAAGACGTACCTAGCAATACAGCCGTGAATTATTAAGAGTGGGGCAAAATCCATCACTGACGTGCATGAAAAAGGCAGTTGTTGTATAATGGAGAGTGGATATTGACATCGCACGTTACAGTTTTGTTTTGATTACCCAGATGAAACGTTAATCCGAAGTTTAAACTGTGTCTCTTTCAAGGAATGGTGACTTACCGGTAACGGTGGTTGATGTCGTTGGAGTTGGTCTCCTCGTAGTTGATGGAGTAGTTGGGATTTGGATCTCTGTGAACAAAAAATTAAAAGGGTTTAACGTTGTACCTTTACAGGAAAATAAGTCTTGTTTCAGATAGACATTTTTGTGCGAGAGGAGACATTTTCAGTCCAAGAAATGTATATTCGTGAAAAATTGACCGCACAATATGACTTTTTTTTATTATTTTTTAATATTGGGAGGTTTTTTTAAACACAAATTACGGAAGAAAGTCAAAGAAATGTATATTCAATCATTTTAAGTCAAAGAAATGTATATTCGTGAAAAATTGACCGCACTATATGACTTTTTTTTATTATTTTAGCGGCTCTGGTGCTTGCACTAGAGCTGCTATTCCGGACGGTCCCAGCTGGGGAGTATCAATGCAGCATGTTACATTGTAGAGACCGCGCGTTGGTTGATGGGAATCGGCGCCATTTTCGGCTATGTTCCTTGTCATGACTTTATTTTATTGCATACTGTTTTATTGTTAGTCA